TGAAGGGGCCATGACGTATTCCCACTTTGAGTCTCCATTTACAATCAGCCCGAAAAATGGTTTGTCATGCGGGACCATGAGTCGAATGAAAGCCTGCCACTCAATACAACAGGTAGTCTAAGATTGGTATTACAGCGCATCCAGTGAAAGATCTAGAAGCTTATTCTGGAGACATGGCTTGAGAGACAAGTAGAACATTCATTAGTAAGAAGGGATAAATGTTTAATCTCAGATGTGATCGCATTCTTCGTCATAATCACTGTCTTGTTCTCCATCTTCCTCCTCATCATCATCGTAGTCATCGTCGTTCCCTTCATCGTCATCCTCTTCATCATCGTCCTCGCATGATTCGGAGCTTTCTTCGAGAAGGGATTCATCACAGGAGTCTTCCCATTCTGCGCCAGAATCCATATTCGAGCTCGCAATCTCCGTATTCTCCTCCTCGGAGGTCAATTCCGCTGCTTCGAACAGAGCTAGAAGATCCAACCCCGATTCCCTCTCGACTGTGAGCTCACCAGGATACTCAGCCGTGCCAAAATGGGCCGGTTCAACGAGGCCGTGAACCCGGTGTACCGATGCTTCGTGAGTGGATGGGAACAGACAACGAATCATGCAGTATAACTGGAGGAAATGTCTCGATACAGATTCAGGAACCTGTTCGTAAGACGAGGGCAGGAGGCCGGGCTCGAAAATTTTGTTTGGCTCCTGGGTCTCGAGGACTCGCACAGAGAGCCACAGCGTTTGTTCCAGCACTTGCATGCCAACATAGGGCTTGCTGAAATCGTGGTCGAGAATTTTATCAAGCTCGAAGAGCAAGTTTGTTCTCTGATAGAGATGGGGGCTCTCCAACCTCGCGCGAATCTTGAAGCACGCGAGCAGTGCGGCAACTTTGATGACAAACTCCTCCCTGGGTAGCGGCCCACGGAGACAGCCTACAAGATAAGCCATGAAACGATCACCAACCTTGCTGCTTATCTGCTCAGTTATCTCCTGCGCGTCTGCAGAGCAGCCTTCAGCCGAGATTGCATGGTTGGGATCGTTCACTGCCAGGCAGACTGCAAGGCAGCATCGCTTGTCTTGGTCGACGAGATTGTTCCTTTCGCTGTAAGTATACTTTCAGCCCGTCAAACTAATCACTTACCAGAGGGAGTCCATAATCCCTTTGAAGCTGTG